TTTATGCAACAGAACTCTTGGGTTCAACTAATTATCCCCATATTTCCTTCTGGTAGAGCTACTTGAAGAGAAATAAAGTTAGGAGGCTAGATATGATTGAGATGTGATTGAGCTTGGTCCTGCCTTGAGGACGGGGGGCTGGACTCGATGACCTCTTGAGGTCCCTTCCAGTCCTATTATTCTATGATTCTATGAATGGCTGCTGTTTACATGGAGGAAAATATCTAACTCTTCATAGGAGGCAGGTAAATGAAGGTATGCAATGAGAGCATTGAAGAGTGAGGATTTTCGATGACTTGAGAAATTGCAGAATGATTAGAATGTTGCAGGTTAGTCAGGGTCTTGTAGGTCTAAGTGGCCTTTCCAAACCTCTCACTAAACTAAACTACAACTTTTTTTTTTGTTTGGTGAATCAATAATTCCCCTGTTTATGACCTCAGTCCTGCAGGGTTGAAGTTTAATGTTATACTCAAATTTATGATTGGGGAGATTTAGGGATGGAAGATCAGCCCCTACTCAGACAGGAGCTGCTGCCTCCCTGCGCTGCTGCCTTCTTGTCAGAGGCAGCAGTGCAGGGCAACAGGCAGCCGGTCCACGGTGGGAGCTGGTTTTTAGACTGGCCCCCCCTTGCAGTCCAGCTCCTGTCTGGCACCAGTGGCAGGGGGTTCCTCGGGAGTGTACTGACTGCTGGCCCCTCTCCTGGGAATTATAGAATAGTCAATTAACAAGGATTCATGAGGTTACTCGACTATTCAATTAACCGATATTTAACATCCCTAGGTAGACTGTGTACCTAGATTGTCAAAGTAGCTTATTGTAGATTTCTGTGCTGGGGCAGTTTGGGACAGCAAGAACCCAGGGGTAGGATTTGACCCAAAGTGCAGAAAGTATAGGATACTTGAGGTGACAGCTATTGAAGTGTGGAAAAGAGGGAAGTTTTTAGTGAACTGGAGAATTCATCGAAGACTAAAGTCAATCTTGCTGGAGAAATTACTGATCTGGCCAATAAGGTGGTTGATTTTGTTTGGGGTTACCACCAGGAGACATTAAAAGTGCCAAGTGGAAGAGAATATTTTGGCTGTCATTGAAACTATTGCCTGCAGGCTGAGAAGCTGGATGCAAGATGAAGGAAGGAAAGATTAGGTGAACAATTCAGGATTAATATGCAGCAAGGTAAAATTTTAATCTGCCATAGACTTGACTCTCTGCATGGATATTGCTGATGCACACTAATAGTTTGTTAATGTACTTTGATCAGTCCTGTTTCAATGAGAACTAGATCAGAGCTCATTAACCAACTATTAATGGACCTCAGTGGGGTCTTCATGGACAGTTGTCAGTGGAAGCTTAATGCATGATAGATTGACACATATGAAGTTGCTGTGAACTAAGTTGCCTTGTGAAAAAGCCCTGAATTTTAGATTTAGAGAGCGCATTAAGAGAAAGTGACAGATATTGGAAAGACCAGATGGATGAGGTAATATCCTTGTTTTTCTTCGACCAACTCCAATAAAAGAGATTACCTCACTCACCTTGTCTTTAATGTTCTGGTTAAACACAGCAAGCCGTATTTGGGAAGGAAGAAAATGGGATGGAGGAGGCATGGTTTGAAAATTGTGATGCTACCCTCGGTGCCAATAGCTTGAGAGAATTTGGTGTGGTAGAGGCTAAGTCCTCATTAAGAATCCCTTATAAAATACTGGAAAGTATTTTAAAAGAAATACTTCTATTTAGGTGTGGGGCAATGATGATGATCCTATTACAAGCTCTAGAGTTGCTTTTTTTCTTTTTACTTGTCCCATGCAAAGTTTTCTGCCTCATTTTAGTTGCCATTAAAGTCTCTCACTTCTGTGCAATGACATCCGCTAATATTTTGTGCAATGTTAATGTCTTGCTAGCCCTGCGTTTGTCGTCTTTCATCTCCGCACCCACATATCACACTCCCCTCATAGCTATTCAGAAGGAAGGTGCCAGGCGGAGCTAATATCACCAGCATCTAGGCCACAAGGGTCTTAACTGCTTCCTGTGCAGTAAGTCAGTAAAGCTATGCTCTCAAAAGCCAGTTCAGAGAATCAGTTTGTTCAGAAGCCATATGTGAATGTAGCTGCCTGGGAAAACTGTTGAGAAGTTTCAAGAAGACAAATCTGTAAATTAAGTTTGAGTTTGGCTATTAAATATGTGCCTGTTTGTGCTGACAGGCTGTTCACAATTGAGAATTAGGAATCAACTTGCTTTAACTGCTCACTAGTTCACATCACTAAACCCCACAAGTATGTCTGACAGATTGAGTGGTACTTGCTTATTTGATCTGTGCTTTGTGGTAGACAGAAGAAATGGTTTGTGTGCAGCTGTGTTTTTATGTTTAAAAAAAATTTTTTTGCACTGATCTTAACAAAGCCCTTGACTAGGCACCTAAGATATTAACCAGCTTCAGCAGATCATGCGTCTGACAGGAACACCCCCTGCATATCTGATTAACAGGATGCCCAGTCATGAGGTGAGACCTGACAGGATGTACAGAGGTTTGCAATTCAGGTCACCGCTTCTTGGGTTCGCTAACTGCTTGCATGAGGCATGGGATGGGCACTTAATAACTGCCTGCTGCACCCCAGATTTTTAAACAAGTCTAAAGCAAATATCAAATTAGAACAGTGCACACTAAACTGTTGGCCTCTGGGACATAGGAGAACCTGAATGAGTTGTTTTTAGAGTATCACTTAACAGTTGAATAATTTACCTGGTCATCATGAAGATGTTTATATACCATAGCAGTATATGACATGCTTCTCATGCCTCGTAGAGGAGGCAGTAAGCTTTTGCAACGGATTTCTGGGCTGTATTTTGTGTTTCCACTTTTGCACAAACCATGGAGCAAATCTTTATTGTCATTATCCATATCCTTTCTTTCCTCCCCCACCATAGATGGTTAGTAGGAAAATTGATGAGCCTGATGAGAGCAAGAGAACCAAAGTAGGCAAGCTGTGTGTACACAACAAAATACTTCCAACAAGTTGAGGTGCACTCCATATCCTGGTGGCTGGGAGACGTTCTTTAACAAAACATTTTTTTCCACAGGCAAGAAACTACATCCAGTCTTTGTCCTACATGCCAAAGATGAATTTTGAAAATGTGTTTATTGGTGCCAATCCACTGGGTAAGACTTGCAGCATTTCTGGGTAGGGCATTTTGTGGAAGATGTTATTAGGTCTTGCTCATTGATTTGAAGACTTGGGATTTTCCCTTCGGGTTAGTGTGAGGATGGATTTATATTTAGGTGGGTTTTTGGTGTTGAAGTAGAAGTGAATGAGACAGCCTTCCCTTTACCATTCTAATAGACCATTATGAACTTCTGAAGAAGTGGGCTATGCCCACAAAAGCTCATGATAGCATCTACATATTTTGTTAGTCTTTAAAGTGCTACCAGATTATTTGTTGTTGTTTTAAGTTTTTCCTACAGTTAGGGGTATGAAATAAGCATTGCAACCTGCAAGCAATATTAATAATCCCTGGTATAACTCACTGATTAAATATAAAATTTAAAGTCCTTGGTACTTTTGGGAGCCTTACCAGTTAATATTTTAACTAGCTGCTTGGCATTGACTTCCAGGAAGCTGCTTCTTTATTTTGTTACTACAGATCTTAATTGTAATCCAGAGTAATTGCTCAGGAGAGGGAGAAAAACCTTGTTTTTGGCATTGCCCCACCAAGCTACCTTGTGGCGTCTATATTAAAACTAGAATCCACTGCTATGTATTTTTTTATTGCTATTTTAGGCTCTCTCTCTCCTGCTGGCTATAAAATCTTATATTGAGGAAGTGTGAAGCTCAGTTCTGGCGTGTCTTAGAATACTGATACTTGTTCACTCATGTTTTGTTTTTGACTACAGAGTAGTTGAATATGGTGATGCCTCAGACCTTAAAATAGTTGAGGAGGGAGGTTCCTGAAAAACTACCAAATTCCATAGGTGGTGCTTATATAAACTTGAGCCTTAGTATTATGCTGGCTCACCATGTGTGTAAAAACCTTTCTTTTCTGTCTCTGGGCTTTGACAGCTGTGGACTTGCTGGAGAAGATGCTGGTGCTGGACACAGACAAGCGAATTACTGCAGCTGAGGCATTGGCCCATGGCTATTTCTCTCAGTACCATGACCCAGATGACGAACCAGTGGCAGACCCCTATGACCAGTCTTTTGAAAGCAGAGAACTCGAGATTGAGGAATGGAAAAGTGAGTCCAGTGAAAGGTGGAGTCACTGAGGCAAACTGCATTTCTAAAGGCAGATGCCACACGCTAACATTGAACAACAGCTTTTATGGTTGGTTGAAGTAAACTTTTGGAGGTGGAGAGCACGAGATGGAGCTGCTGGAAATGTGTGCGCTGACAAAAGGTCTCATTAGTTTGTTCCTCTTCATTCATTGGAAATACCTTGAATTGTTCTGGTGACTTACTTTGTGCAGAATGAATACAGTCTTCTGCTAGCTGGTTATACAAATATCAGCTCATGCAGACAAATTATGGAGACTTCAACACTTTGGAGACTTCTAAAGTATACCTTTCTGGCATTCTGGAAGTACCATTATGATGTTAGACTCATTTAGCATACCAAGCCATAGGCTTTTGTTTGCTCAGCACATCTATAGCATGTTCTCTCCTTGAAATAGGGCTTTGAGGGTTAGACTCCAACAGGGGCTGTGTTATAAAACTGTAGTTCTCTTGCAGTATTAAATCTCTGTCATTCTTTCCCCTTGCAGGTCTGACCTATGATGAAGTAGTCAGCTTTGTGCCACCCCCGCTTGACCAAGAGGAGATGGAGTCCTGAGAAACTGTCTCTCTTCTGTTTGTCCCACTTCACTGTGAGGGGAAGGCCTTTTCATAGGAACTCTCCAAATATCATTCAAGTGCCTCTTGTCACAAAGATATTCTCCTTGGTGGAAGGGTGGTGTGTGGGTGTGTGTTTGTGTGTGTATTGAATGGGGGGAGGGAGGAAGGCTGACTGTATGTAAACATGCTGCATGCTATCTTGTATTCTGTGTACAGCTTATGGCAAGCCTCTGAATACCTAATTGTGACTCACGTTTTTTTTAGCCCTTCCAGAGTAACAGCAGCCAATTTTCACTGCTGCTGGGGTAAGGCAGACATAATGCAAGGAAGCTCAGTTAATTCTCAAGTCACATTTTTTTGCCATTAAAATGGTTTTCCTATGAGGAAGTGACTCTCCAGATAATGGAAAGTAGCTGTATACTTGAACAGCTTTCTACAGCAACAGATTTGGGGCGAGGGATGTCTTTGCCTCTTTCCAGTATTGTATACCAGCAAAAAGTCTGAATATCTGTTTGGTTCTTGAAACACGAGAAGAATTTGTCTGACAATGTAAATATGTTTTGTGCCTTAAATGAATGAAAAAAGCAAAAGTGAGTCTGGAGTTAACATTCTTGAATGGAATTCTGGGCCCATTGTTTTCCATGGGTTGCAGGTAGCCAGGCATGAACACTATAACCAGAAAGTATATCCAGGGAACAGCCTCTTTGCCCCCGGATTGGCAATCACCATGTCTCCTGTTCCTCTCCTTCTGAGGTTTCCTGTCATTCACGGCCAGTTGGTACAGGCAGAGGCTGGAGAGGATTCATGCTGTGTCTATGTGCTTATATACTTTATTCCAAACAAGATGAGGTATTTTTTGCATGTTGTAGCTATATGAGCATGTACACCTACTTTTGTTTCATTATCTTGGAGGAGAGCACTGGGGCTTTAAGGCTGCCAGTGAAGTACTGTACTGAGTTTTTCTGTAGAAAAATCACAGAATCCTCCCTCTTGTAGCACAACTCATTGTGAACATATCTGCCATTCAAGGTGCTTTGATAAAAAAAAAAGGATAAAATATATGGGATAGATAAACATGCACATATTTCTTTGTCCTGGTCTTTTTGTTTTCAAAATATTTGTGTATTTATACAGTAAAGGCTAAAGTCTTTCAAAGGAGAAGCTGAACACGAGACAATTTAATTGTCCAAACTTAGAAGTTATTTTGCCCCCAAAAAGAAATGCTTGGAGTCCAAAACAAAGAATAAGCACGCATGAAGTCAGAACCTCCCTTTTGCGGTCTGTATCTGTATGTGTGTATAATTAAAACGTTAATAAGGTTATTTTTTACGCTCCTGGAAAAGAGCTTTTTGGCTATTTTAGTGGGTTGATTTCTGCCTGAGGAAACAGAAAAAGGGAGTATGTTTCAAGATAAAGTTGATTAAAATATTTTTTATTTGACAGGGAGCCTGTGTGAATGAAATGGCCAACTTCAGGGACTGGGTGGGAGGAAAGTGTCTTTCAGTATTTTGTATATTGCAGCTGTCCGGTGTGGCTCAGATGCCTTTTTTTAGGCTATAGGGGAAAAGGCATTTTCATAAGTTCATGTATTGCAGGCATCTCCTGTGTGGGAAGAGCTGGGCTTTTGCAGTATTTTGTATTCTGGTGGATCTCCACTCCTTTGATGTAGGAGTGGAGAGCGGCTGTTTTAATGTATTTATTCCTATATGCATAAAGAGGCAGCACAAAAGAGTTGGGAGGTGGATGACAAAGCCATCATTTTTTCCTAGTACACTTTTCGGCGATCTCTCTTCAGGTCAGACCCTCTTAGAGAAGCCTGGGATGGTGTGGGGAGAGTAATTCTTTCATGCCTTGGGTACAGAACTCTCCCCATGACCAAATGAAATTGACAGTAGAAAATCTCTTCCTCTGCTGGATTTACAGTCCAGGTATTTAAATGGAAATGTAGATATAATCTGTAAACCTACAGCAAGACTATTTTTATCAGCCATGTTATGTGCAGATGCTACAGTGTGATTTCATGCAGAAATATTGCTAAAGATTTTTTAACTATAGACATCGCATGTATGAGTGGAAATGTTTCCAAGTCTAGACTCTAATGGGAGCCCGTGGGGCATGCACTCCGTTTTCAGAGCAGTGCTATGCTGCTGCTTAAACAGAAGTACACACTTCAAAAAAGAAATTCTGCTATTTTGTTTGTATCCATGAACTTTGCTGTAATCGGTTATGCCATATAGGATGTCACACAATACCACTGATTTAAAATAAAACCTATTTTTCAGATTTACTGGCTGCTGGTGCTTACAAACTTGTAATGTTAAGTATTTCATTTACATGAATTTGGCTTTTCCAACAGATTGCATAATGTTTAGTCTCATACTGGATCCTAAGAGATATAAAGCCTGAGAATGCCTTCCTTTCCTCCACAAACTCTGAAATCGGTGTCCACATTCCTTTGACCTGTCTTCTCCACATGACACAAAGACAGTTTTAGAGTTGACCATGAATGTCATCTGGCAGTGAAAAGTCTACAAGCAGCTCTGCTAGTGGAAACTTTAAAAGTGTTTGTCCAGTATGATAGTTCAGTTTTACCTCTGTTCCAGAACTGACATTTCTGCCTTAAACCTGCCCCTCTCCTCAGTAGATCTGATTTTCGTTTTGTTTTCTTGCTGTTTAGAAGTAAAAGTGTTCTCTGGTTCTTACATTGTCATTTAGATACTGCTGATTTACTGCAAGGAATCATGGGAGCATAGTCTTGCTGCTCCTATAATTGTAGGATACAAGGTTTCCTAGAATGTCACTTTTGCAGAGGAGTTTATCAAATCAAACTACATTTTTGGAAATCTCTAGTAAGAGCTTCACAATATCTGGCTATTACTAAACAGAACACTTCATGGGGAAATTTTATTACACAAATGTAAAGAGCAAACTCATTCAATAGATGCTCTATGCAAACAAACAAATGTATCCCAAAGTACTGAAGAATGAACTGTATGGGACAGTTGACCTGTACAGGAATAGGTTAGGTGAACTGACAGGTGGACAGACCTACTCTTAGAGCTTAGCTGTACCAAATCAAATGGAATGACAAGTTGGGGAATTGTCTGTGCTGGATAAAAGATTTCCATGGTCAGTCCTCATATTATTCTACACTAGAAAATTTCATAGCTGTCCTTTTGGTGACAAGAAGGCAGCAGTAGTATAGACAGGGCTCAGGTATTTTTATTATAGTGTTATGTGTTCCTGGCTTAGAATAACAGTGGTCAAAGCCTGGCCCTTGACTACAGTTTCTACTGTTGCTGCACCGTGGTACGCTCATATGCATTACAGCATATGAAGTATTTTGAACACCAAGTCTACTATTGTAATTTAATTTTTAACAAATCTGCTCAGTGCATACATGTGTTGCTAGAAGCTGCAAAATCCAACTAGCCATAAAAAGGTTCTAACCATTTCCAAAGTGGGATTCTCTGAAAAGCAAGTGAAAAGGCCATTGTAGTGGAAGCTGCTGGAGTTTGGTCTCAGAATTAATGGAAAAAGGGGTCGCTACAAAGAATTTTCAAAGCCATCAACTCTCCTTGAGACATTCTTCCAACCTTCAATGGATGCTCCATTCTGGCCAGCCACAGTAGCATAAGACCTCCCATTTCAAATATTTCTGTCATTTCTTGTCTGTAGCACCTTAGGATAGATTTTTTGTTAATATCTGTCTATAATTTTTAGTCTCTAAGGTGCTATCTATACCCTTCTGAGAGATTTGTAGTCTGGTCCATCTAAGAGACTAAAGGTGCTTTTGCGCTATTGAGTATAAAGAAGAGCATATACGTTTGTAAGGCAGACCAGTTTGGCTTTAAAGCTGCAGCGTCTTCTCCAGGCAGCTACTTCATGAATGAGGTCAGCCCCGAAGACTTGCCTTTCAGTGATTAAATATCTTGGATTTTATACTTTTTATTTACTTTCTGTGGACAGATCAGTTTAGTAGGTTTGTTTCTAGTAGAACTAGTGCCTGGATTGCAACTATCACTGAAAAATCACTGCATGTATGGACTGCAGTAAGATGCAGTCTGGGGCAGATGCTAAGGGTGGCTCTTGCTGAAACTTGCAAAAAGAATGACTGAAAATCCTGTTCAGCATATAAAGTCTCTAAGATCTATTCCATTATCAGAGCAGGGATACTTCACAGCCCAGGTTCTGAGGAGGCTTCCAGGAACATCATTGCGAGTGGAGACCCCATATGTTAAAGGGACAGTCTGTTCCTCTGGCCGCCATATCTTTGTGAGCAGACATTCTTTTTAAAATACTGCAGTATTCAAATTAAATGGTCCAAATTGTTTTGAGACTAATCAATTTCAGGAAATTCCCTTGAAATATTATGCCTTCTCATTCATTGAGAACTGATTATACAACTGTAGGAAAATGGGTGGCATCTCAGGTGCTGTAATTCTCTGGTGTTGAAAGGGCAGAAGCTATTGAGATTAGCTGAAATCACTGAGTAGGCATATCTGTTACAGAGAGGTACACTTACTAACTAGAAAATAATTAGACAAATTAGGACCTATCCCTAGACCAAACAGGCTCAACAACAAAATCCTGTAATCGTGAAACATGGTAGACATTTGTAAAGTCCTAATCACGTACCTAGCAACCCATATCTACACACGATTGCTTGAGAGTTGTCTAGTTTTGCTTAGGTATGCAAGCTGGGGACTTGCACGCACAAGCAATCTTTTATATTTTGCAATAACTTCTTTACTCACCTGTGTATTTATACAACCAGTGTTCCGCGTATTTCCCTCTCTCATAGACTTTAAGGTCAGAAGGGACCACCATTATCATATAGTCTGACCCTCTGCACAATGCAGGCCACAAAATTTTACCCACCAACTCCTAGAATAATCCTTTTATCTATATCTCAGATATTGAAGTCCTCAAACAATGTTTTAAAGACCCCAAGATGCAGAGAATCCTCCAGTAGGTGATCCATGCCTCACGCTCTCTCAACCTTACACATATGTTGTATCCGCTTAAATAAAACATAGTAATGGCCATAGTGATTCATACCAATGGTCCAGCTAGCCCAGTATCCTGTCTTTGCACATAGGCCAATGCCAGGTACCCCAGAGAGACTGTACAGAACAGGCAGTTATTCATCTGGAAGCCCAGCTTCTGGCAATCAGGCTAGGAACACCCAGAGCATGTGGTTGTATCCTTGACCACCTTGGATAATAGTCATGGGTAGACTTGTCCTTTAGGATCTTTTTTTTTTAACCCAATAATAGTTTTGGCTTTCAGAATCCCCTAGCAATGAGTTCCACAAGTTGACTTGTGAAGAAGTACATCCTTCTGATTGTGTTAAACCTGCTGCTTATTTATTTCATTGGGTGACCCCTGCTTCTTGTGTTACATGAAAGGGTAAATAACACTTGTTTTCTGCACATCATTCATGATTTTATAGACTTCTATCATATTGTCCCTTGGCCATCTCTTTTCCAAGCTGAAAAGTCTCGGGCTTTTTAATGTCTCCTTGTATGGAATCATTTTTGTTGCACTTCTCTGTACTTTTTCCAATTCATACTTCTCTTTTGAGCTGTAGTGACCAAAACTGCACAGTGTATTCAAGGTGTGATTGATGTGTATATAGTGTCATTATGATATGGGATCTAGTAGATATAGTATACTTAGAGTTCCAGAAAGCCTTTGACAAGGTCTCTCACCAAAGGCTCTTAAGTAAAGTAAGTTATCACGGGATAAGAGGGAAGGTCCTTTCATGGATTGATAGCTGCTTAAAATACAGGAAAAAAAGGGTAGGGATAAAATGGTAAGTTTTCAGAGTGGAGAGAGGTAACTAGTGGGGTCCCCCAAAGGACCCATCCTATTCAACTTATTTATAAATGATCTAGAGAAAGGAGTAAATAGTGAGGTGGCAAAATTTGTGGATGATACCAAACTGCTCAAGATAGTTAAGACCAAAGCAGACTGTGAAGAGCTTCAAAAAGATCTCCCCAAACTAAGTGATTGAGCAACAAAATGGCAAATGAAATTTAATGTTGATAAATGTAAAGTGATGCACATTGGGAAAAATAATCCCAACTATATGTACAATATGATGGGGGCTAATTTGGCTACAACTACTCGAGAGAGATCTTGGAGTCATTGTGGATGGTTCTCTGAAAACATCCACTCAGTGAATAGCGGCAGTCAAAGTAAATAGAACGTTAGGAATAATTAAAAGGATAGAAAATAAGACAGAAAATATGTTAATGCCTCTATATAAAACCATGGTACACCCACATCTTGAATACTGTGAATAGATGTGGTCACCTCATCTCAAAAATGATATCTTGGCATTGGAAAAAATTTAGAAAAGGTCAACAAAAATGATTAGGGGTTTGGAATGGCTGCAATATAAAGAGAGATGAAAAAGATTTGAACTTTTCAGCTTTGAAAAGAGGAATCTAAGGGGGGATATGATAGAGATCTATAAAATCATGACTGGAGTTGAAAAAGTGAATAAGAAAATTATTTACTTATTCCCACAATATAAGAACTAGGGATCACTAAATGAAATTAATAGGCAGCAGGTTTAACACAAACAAAAGGAAGTTTTCCTTCCCTCAGCGCACAGTCAACCTGTGGAACTCCTTGCCAGAGGATGCAGTGAAGGCTAGGACTTCAACAGGGTTCAAAAAAGAGCTAGATAGTCATGGAGGTTAGGTCCATCACTGGCTATTAGCCAGAATGGTTAGGAATGGTGTCCCTAGCCTCTGTTTCTCTGGAGGTGCGTGATAGGGGCGGGATCATGTGAGGATTGCCTGTTGTGATCCCTTCCTCTGAGGCATCTGGTATTGGCCACTGTCGGCAGACAGGATACTGGGCTGGATGGACCTTTGGTCTGACCCACTATGGCTGTTCTTATGTTCTTATTTTTCTGTCTTCTTATCCATCCTTTTCCTAGTAGTTCCTAGCATTGTTATCTTTTTTGTTGTTGTTGCTGCCCAGTGAGCAGATATTTTCAGAGAACTATCCACAATCACTCCAAGATCTTCCTTGAATGGAACAGATAATTTAGATCTCATCATTTTGTATGTATAATTGGGATTATGTTTTCCAATGAACATTAGTTTGAATTTAGCAGAATTGAATGTTGTCTGCCATTTTCTTGCCTATACATCCAGTTTAGTGAGAGCCCTTTGTAACTTTTTGCTGTTAGCTTTGGACTTTCTTTTAGTAATTTTGTATCTTCTGCAAATTTTGCAAACTCTCTCTCTTCCTTTTTCCAGATT